ACTCACACATACTCACACATACTCACACATACTCACACAAACTCACCCATACTCACACAAACTCACACAGTGGGCTGTTTAGCTCACCTAAGAAACAAAAAGAACCGAGAGGGAAGGCGTGAAACATGGGGGCATATGGGAGGGGGAGCTTCCAGCCCTGGAGGTATGAGGTCATGTGCGACCCCCTCTAGTAGTGATAATAGAATAGAATAGAATAGAATAGAATAGTGATACTTTATTAATCCCCATGGGGAAATGACAGCAGCTTGGGGGTCACAGCACAGGGTCAACTAGTGTACAATGTCCCTGGAGCTGGGGGTTAAGGGCCTGGTTCAAGGGCTCATGAAAATGTCCTTCTGATCACAGAGACCGAGGCTTAGCCTGCTGAGCCACACACCATCCCCCTTTTAAATAGATAATAATAATAATAATAATAATAATAATAATAATAGTAATAATAATAATAATAATAATAATAATAATAATAATAATAGTAATTGCCCTCCATTTTATTTCTTTGTGCTTCCAAGTCCTGCCTTATACTGACAGGATAATATTAATTCCGCCGTCATTTCTGATTAGTATAAAGCTGTTCGGTCTTGCGGAGGGTCTGTGCTGCTGTGCTCTCATACTGAAGTTAATTTTTCACCTGCTCTGTAATGCACAACATGGCATGTTTGCCCCCCCCCCCCCCAGGTGGTGATAAACTACTCCATTGTGAAAGGCCTGAAGTACAACCAGGCCACGCCCACTTTCCACCAATGGCGCGACGCCAGGCAGGTGTACGGGCTGAATTTCGCCAGCAAGGAGGAGGCCGCCACCTTCTCCAACGCCATGCTCTTTGCCCTCAACGTGCTGAGCACTCAGGAAGGAGGTGAGCAGCCGTGTTCGCCAGCTGTTGGCGCTGTGCCCACGAAGGGGCTGCTTTCCAGATGTTTTCAGGCCTCTGAGAATTGCGGGATTTACTAGTGAGGCTGCAAGGGCTTTTATCATATGGTTCTTATGTGCTGCACAGAAGTTTTCTTTGGATTAGGTTCATATGACTCTTCGGTTTTCACTCACTGACATTATTTTACATTATATTTAGTTATAATTTTTGCTGTAGGCATCGGGCTGTCTGGTATTTAGCTCAGCCCCTGCTAACTTTGTTTTGTGGCACTAACCAGTATTAGTTCTGTTGATTGTTGACGTGCCGTACAATTTAATATTTTGTTTTGCTGATTTCTTTCCCTTTATTGAATCGACTGAGTACAGCACCCATGTGATCCATGTAAAATAATAAGGAAAGATGGGAAGCAGTTTTGAGTACTTTTCACGATTTAGTATAATCACATATTTTCTTCGATATCTGAGAGGTCAGTTCCATTTATACCTTCCACCATCAAATCAGGCGGTCCTGCATCTGGCCAGGGATATTTTTTGGGTGACAGCCCTATGAGAATCAGGTATGACGTCACTGGTCGTTCATTCAGAGCATTGACGTGGCTACATCTGAACTGTACCTCCCCCTACTGGACGCCATGCGCCAGCGCGAATGCCGTTGATTGTACGCAGTGGATTCTTATGTAGCTTAGCGCCACCATCTGGGACTAGGAATAGAGGGGAAACAGCCATAGCGTCAGTCTCAGCTTGTTGAGACAATGAGAACATTCCTCCTGAAGGCTGTAAAAAGTCACGCTTTACCGGTTTCAATTACATCCGCCGCCTGTTCCGTTTGCTCGCATTACTCCGAAAGTGCGTCTCCCAGACATTTCAAAAGGCAGCACTGGGGCTTTTCAGTGCTGTATGCATTTTCACATTTCCCTGTATCTATGAAAGCAATACGGTTTCTAGAGCTCGCCCTGTGTTTGGCGTGACACTTTCTGAGTCTTTTAATAACAGAAGGGGAGAGAGACGTCCATCCAGCACATTCCCAGCACATTCCTGTATGTCCCTCCGTGCTGGTGTGTATTAATGCACTAGCTCCTTGGCACTCAGGCATACCTACTGAGTGCTGCATGCTTTCCTGTGTTCTCGGATATGTTTTTGTTTTTCAGATCCTCATTTGAGTAAGACATTACTTATGCGATCCAGTATAGCTTCATTTTTTCCTCTACTCTGTTGTCTCTTTCCTGTTTTCACACTGACTCTTTTGAACATTAACTGTTACTCTGTCTCTCTCCGACATTCTTTTTAATTAATTTGCTTAAAATCCCTCATTCCTCACAATGCTGCTAAATTTGTAAGCACTTTAGGGCAGACCAGTTGAGAAGCAAAAATAAATATTCAAAATCTTGCGATCGGTGCTTTAAGCTCCAGGCCCATAACAGCCCTGTACTGGACTGTGGGTTGGATGGAAGAGTATGAACTAAACAGGCTTGAAGTTCTATGTGTTGGGGAAAGGCAGTGTCACCTTTTGCCGCGTGCCAATATAGACGCGACTCAGGTTTCAGCCTGATGCTACTTATAAGACTGACGATGGAGTCCAGTGTCAACACTTGACATCACCTGGGTCCATAACTGGTTCAGGGCCCGGCCAAAATATCCATGGAGCCTCGTGGTCTGTGGCCTTCCCGTCCCATCGTGTCTCACAAGTGTCCTCCTCGGTGCCTCTCTCTCTGATTGGTTGATATGCAAGGATGGCGGGCAGGGTGACTGGCAAACGAGCGACCGCTGTTTTGAGTGAGTGAATTTGGTGGGGGCTTCTCCCCTTGAGCTTTGGTGGGTGGGAGGGTGAGTGGAGGTGGGGGGGGGGGGGACCCTCGCTCTCCCTGTAAATATCTGGCAACCCTGGGTTGCCTTAAACGTCGGCCGAGGAGAAGGTGCGGGTGAAATGCTTAGTTCAGAGAGTCTCCCACAGTCGAGCAAGAGACTCACTTCCACAGTCATCCGCCTGAGCAGTGAGTATGAGATTAAGAGAGTGTGTGTGTGTAGGTGAGAGTTTCAAGTAACTACACGCCAACCTCTGTGGGGCTACTGCTTGACGGGGGTGTGGGGGGGTGTGGTTTTGTTGTCGCTTGTAGTTTATGACTGAAATAGACAGCGAGGTTCTCGAACCCCCCATGTGTTTGGGGCTTGTCAGCGAGGCCCCAGGAAAAGCTGATTAAGCAGGAGGTGTTTATCTTGCTTCATTGGGACGGGTGTGTGTGTTGGCATTGTTTTGAGGTATAAACACCTCTGTTCAGATAATAAGCCAGTTAAACTGTTATTAGACAGGAAGTTGTAGATTAGAGTTAGACAGAGAGGCAAACACGTGTCTAAGGCCAATTTGGTGATCAGTATGGCATTCGATTAATATTACATATTAATCGAATTGGGGTCTGCATTTAAAAACTACAGGGGTCTCATCATACACTGTTTTATTTCTTTTGTGGATGAAGAGCTTTAATTGTCAGCAAGGCTTTGGCCGTCCTGCTGTTTCAGCAGCCTCTCCCGTCTTTTTGCTGGCCACTGCAGTTTTTCGCTTCCTGGGCCGTCATCCCGTGCGCCATCTGCTGGTCGTCAGCTTGGTGTTATACAGTTATGAGGAAACCGGGGAGTGTTTTTACTGGCAGCCTTCTCAGTATGAGTCTCTGCTGGGGGCAGCTCTGATGGGCCAAGCTAATAGAAAACTGCTGGTATTAGCTGTTTAGCTAAGCCTTCTGTGTATTCCAGTGAGTACAGGGCCTGTGTTTGGCCATCACAAAGCATCCTGCTAATTTTACATCAGGGGAGTCTGGCAGTTCACATGACCTGGACAGTACCGCATCTTAATGATCTCTTAAGGTTTAAAGGTAACAAGACATGCTGTAATATTTATGCTTTGTAGGTTGACTAAGAATAAAATTTGTGGTAGTTCATTATAATGGACCCCTAGTACAGCGGATAAGCCCTCGGTCAGGCCAGTCCTCCTACAGAATGAATGGCTCCCCATCACTCCCCCATCACTCCTCTTTTCCTCATTCTCCCGCCACAATGGTTTTAGCTGCTGTGCCATTTTGTGCCGAGTCTCCATCTGGTACTCAGGGAACAGGGGTGGGACTGTGCTGCTGCCACATGGGTGGATGATGTTCCCATGATGCAACTGGTGGGGGGGGGGGGTAATGAGATTGTGTAAGCCTAGGATTCATTACTCTGCTTAACAGTGCCCCCCCTGCTGTCCTATTAACGGGTTTTTAGTCAGCTGCTAACAAGGATTCTGTTACCACAGTCTTTGCATCGATAGCCACTTAGCTAATGCTAACGTCTAGGAATCCCTTGCTAACTGTATAATACCGTGGTAGGTATTTTAAGGCGACCTCGTGGCTGTGTATAAACATACTTGAATATCGCACATCAGGCATACTTTCATGTAGCCATTTCTAGAAATTAAATTATCGAGTTGCTTAGAGGACAGTTATGTTTAACTGCTGATTTTTTTATGGCTGCAATTCAAATATGGCGGCTTTGATTCAGGTACAGCTGCTGTAGCCGTTGCAGAAATCCCATCCTCAGGCGCTGCTCCCACTCTTCTCTTTGGAATGGAATCATCTTTTCTTTTGTTTACATCTTAGTTAGTACAATTTTTAAAGTATAATTCATTAAATTAACAGCGGTCACAATGGGACCGTTCCGTTTTTTATTAATAATCGAAAAATACTGACTACCAATGTTCATTTTTTATTTATTATGGTTGTTCATTCAATCCTACAGAATTTTCGTGTGTAGAAGCGGTTTTGGCTCAGTGCAGAAAAAAGCTCTTTGAAGAGCAGCGTTCATTTCAGGATGCCCTGCGTGCTTTAAGCACCTCCTCGCCCAGAAATAACACGTTAGAGGTACTCTAATGTTACAGTGGACCAGAAAGGTTATTGGTCACTATTTTGATAGGCAATAAGTTTTCAAACTGATGTCACTTTTAAAAGCATAACTCAGAATAGACTTCAGTATCTACGCTCTGGCCCACAAAGTGAGACTAGGATAGCACCACCCAGACCATAAAGCCCACACCCCACAAAGTCTGCTTACAGATACAGGGTAAGACAGCACCACCCAGACCATAAAGCCCCACCCCACAAAGTCTGCTTACAGATACAGGGTAGGACAGCACCACCCAGACCATAAAGCCCCACCCCACAAAGTCTGCTTACAGATACAGGGTAGGACAGCACCACCCAGACCATAAAGCCCCACTCCTCAGAGGCTGCTGTGTACAGATACAGGGCAGGACCGCTCCGCCCACACCACTATGGTCCCCCTCCCCCAGACCGCATCCTCAGCAGCTGGCTGTCTGTACCCTGCATTTCTTTTCAAAATGCACATTAGTCTCCACATTCATACAGATACCCCAAAAGTACGATGATAAAACGCACTTTGTGGGCCCTGCGTGCCTTCTGGAGCTTCACTGACAGACTGCTGCTCTTCCATCACTGTAAATGGGCACAGGGTGAGTACGCAGAATAGGAGGACAGCATTGTGACATCACAGCAAAGCCAAATGAAATATCCAAGATCAAATCCAATATACATACCCTGTCACTCAATTTGTGTTTTTGTTTTTAAAGGAGTGTAGAAAAACAGTTAATAATAATTATCATATGATTATTATTCAAGAATAAGAGCTTTTCTGAATGACTCCATGTCTATCTGCTATTAGTAAAGGACATCATGCCAGAGTAATGGGTAAAACCAATTAATTAAAGTCTCAAAGCCGGAATCCCACATGAAAGGTATTAAAACAGCATGTGTGCACTCTATGCTTGGTCTGTCTGAGTGTGGAACTGAAACGAAACAGCAGAACTTGTTCTAATGACTTATGTTGGTTTTTGCTGTTTCACTTTTGCTCCCTAATTGAGCAAGATTGTCATGTTTATCTGCACAAGTTTGCTGTTGTAATAAAGTAGAGACAGCAAATCATCTTTTTTTTAATGTCTATTCTTAG